CGGGAGTGATGGGTGGGAGGTGGGCTGTTTCCCCCCCCCCCCGCCTGTTTAGCCTCTGGCATGTGAGACGGTGCCTGATCCCCACTGCTACACCATCACTGCACCCTCTTCTAGCAAAGGCGGTGGGAATGCCCCACTGGGGTGCAGAGCCCCTACCCTGCTCTGCTCCCCTGCGGTTCTGCAGGTTTGTGCTGCTCTTCGCCACCTCTGGATTTCCTAACCCGCAGGAACCCATTTACCTAGCCTGCTGAAACAAAGCTTTCAGTCAAATGCCCCTTGCTCATATGGCGGGTAGATGAAACCCAAGTGCTGGATGGATTTGGAGGGGCAGGCAGTGTGCCTTGCCTCGCTCAGCACCAGCTGAGGCGAGCTGTGCTCACACATTTCATCTGCCAGCATGGTGGGAGGTTCCTACCCTGTAATCAGAAACATGGGAGAGACTCCTTACACTGCCAGCTTTCCCCAAAATCAAATGTTGCATCTGCCAGTGGTGTGGGAGTAAGTACAGACCAGTGACCTTGGCTTCTAATGACACCAGGACCCTCTAGAGATCTGAGGTTTATCAGCAAAGCCCCTGTCCATGAAGCCATTTATCTCTGGCAGCTTCTTTTTGCGCAGCTGGAGCGGTGGTTGCATCCTGCCCTGGCCAAGCCAGTTCAGTCTGGGTAGGTGGAAATGGGCGGACGTGGCAGGGAGCTGTGCAGGGAGATGAAGGAGCTCAGCTGATCTGAGTGGTGAGGGGGTGGAGAACTGAGGGAGAAAGGGGAGAATTTGCGTTAGAAGTGATGTGGATTTTCACATGGTAAAAACTCAATGTCTCAATAATCCAGGGAGAGTGGTCATGCACACCTGGAAGCGAAGTCCAACAGCAAACTAGGAGAAGAAAAAAAAAAAATCCAGTGTAAAACAAAAAGATTAAACATTGTTTATTTAACAACAAGAATCAGCATTTTGAGGGCTGTGAACTGTGACTTGTGATGCTTGAAGCTGACAACGTTATTTTGAACACAAGACTCTCCACTTGGTCACAGTCAGTATTTCTGTGTGCTTTTCCTGCCCCACAGGCACACCCGAAGGCCTGTCCCTGGCATGAAGGACTTGTGAGCCACCAGTGTGGGCTGCAGGCCCTCCATGGAGAGCAGCTTCCCCCCAGAGTGGGCTGCAGCCCCTCTGTGGAGAGCAGCTGCTCACTGCAGTGACTGCAAGTTCAGGGCAAACCTGGGCATTTTCTCCTGCACTTGTCCTCAGGGGCAGCTGGGGACTCTCAGGGGGACCTTAACAATGGGCAAACAAACAGGCGAATACACAACTCCGTCCCAGGCGGACATGTGGTGTTAGCAAGCTTCCAATGGAGGCGTCCGAGACTCACTGACATGGCTGCGGGGAGCCAGGCACTGGAGGCCTCTGTAACCCAACTCTCCTACTTTTCTTTCCAGCTGGTCGAAATTCCCCCGGTACCTGGCATGCTGTGCTACAGCTGTCGTGGTCCCCTCTTGCGGGCCACCTCATGCAGCACCCACGCACCTCTGTGCTTTGGGAGCATACCTGAGCTGCACACCCAGTGTCCCCTTAACACCCTTGTCCCTTTTCCATCCTTTCAAGAGCTTTGACAGCAGGTTGGTTCTGCCTGGAGAAGATCAAGAAGGAGGACTCCTTTTTCAGCTGTCCAGGACACACTATCCGCTGTCACCCGGCCCTGCTGAGTGTGGGAGCGTTTGCTATTAAATGGCACTGAGTCCTGCCTGGCTGCTGGCATCCACTCGAGCACAGGGAGAGCTGCCTTTTCTGATGGGGGCAAGGAGAGGGGCAGAGAGGCAGCCCTGCCTCCCCTTCATTTTCAGGTGACCTGGCTGCATTGGTGAGACTGAGGGTAAGTGGCTCCACGCAGGCAGGAGCAAACTGCAGGCAGCCCTTGGAACAGACTCGAACATGGGCTTGAACTTTGACGCTACTCCTTCCAGCAGCCTTGAAAGGGAGGGAGAGCAGTGGCGTGACCAGCCCAGGTGGCTCTCGCTGACTCAACATAAACGTGTTTTTAAGCTCCTGGTGCAGTTGGCGGGGAACACGCTGTGCCCGTGGGTT